GATATCCACTCCCTTACACCTGAAACCTCTGAACATGTTAATTACATGGCAAGGACTTTACAGATGTGATTAAGGTAAAGAACCCTGAGATGTGTAGATTATCTTGGATGTCTGGGTGAGCCAGTCTAATCACATGAGTCTTTATAAGTAAGAGAAGAGGGAGAAAGGTGAGTCAGAGGGACAGCTGGGTGGTTCAGTTGGTTAAGCATCAGACTTTGGCTCAGGTCATGATCTTGTGGTTCACGGGTTTGAGCCCTGCATCGGGCTCTATGCTGACACCTCAGAGCCTGGAACCTGCTTCAGATTCTCTGTCCCCGCCCCGCCCCTTCCCTGCTTGCCCTCTTGTTCTCCTCTCTCTCTCAAAAATAAATAAACATTAAAAAAAATTAAAAGAAATGTGAGTCAGAGATACAACAACATAAGAAGAGGAAGGAAGGAGTCAAAGCATGAGAGGGTTTTGACCCATCATTGCTGGTTTTGAAGATAGGGGAAGGGAGGTAAAGTCAAGGCATACAGATGGCCCCTAGAAGCTGGGAATGGCCCTCAGCTGACAGCCAGCAAGGAAACGGGGTCTTGGTCCTACAGCTACAAGGATCTTTATTCTGCCAACAACCTGAATGAGCAATGGAATGGGTTCTCCTCTATAGAACTTTAAGATAATAAATTTGTATAGCTTAAGCTGCTAAGTTTGACATAGCTTGGTACAGCAACAATAGAAAACTAATACACAGTGTTGGTGACAGACCCCTCCCTGCTTCAGAATATTCTGGTGCATAGCTACTGATGTCATAGAAAAGATTCTAGAAGAGCACACTATGGAGAAGCACTTGGGTTTAGAAGCTCTTGGGTGGAGGTAAGCGGGTTATCAAGGAAGTGGAATCTGAAAAGCCCAGGGAACCTAGTGCAGGTAGAGCAACTTTTCTGCAATAAAGGTCAAAGCTGCCACAGTGGCTGCTTCTTCCCTCCCGTGAGAAGGCACCAAGGCCTGCAGAAGGACTGGTGAACTGGTAAGCTGGTATAGGATGGGTAGGAACCAGGACAGTTATGATGACACCCAGGTGCAAGAGACACTCAGAAAATCCACTTATTGCTTTTACGATGACAATTCTGTTGGGAAGGGTTGGCATTCATTCATTCATTCATTCATTCATTCAACAGAGATTCAGAGCACCTACTATATACTAGGCTCTGTTCTAAGTTCTTTTTTTTAATATATGAAATTTATTGTCAAATTGGTTTCCATACAACACCTAGTGCTCATCCCAACAGGTGCCCTCCTCAATGCCCATCACCCACTTTCCCCTCCCTCCCACCCCCCATCAACTGTCAGTTTACTCTC